AAAAAGAGGACCATTAGATTATGTATCAGGTGTATCAGATTGTGGGGACTGAACGAAAAGGAAAAACAAAGGTAAAGAAGTTCCCCCAGCAAGAATTTAATACTGGAAAGATTTTGCCTGACTGATCAAGTTCAATAGTTCCCCCAGCAAGAATTTAATACTGGAAAGATTTTGCCTGACTGATCAAGTTCAATTTCCTTGCAGCTGCACACCACAGATAACAGTTATCAATGGACAACCATCTACAGATAGCTGCTTTGACACCTGCAATCTACACACCACATGCTCATTTCTTGCAACAGAAAGATGATGTTGGAAATTGGCACAGAAATTGTTCTATCTACATGCAACAGCAGAGGTCTGTGTAGGCAAAAAAGCTCTCCTGGTGACACAATGCAGACCCTGCACTGTGGAGTGGGACAAGGAAGCCCATCTGACTCCCAGGGAGACATGGAGAGCAGTGAAAGGAGTGTATGAGAGAAAGAGAAAAAATCTCCCAACATAATGTCACATGAATGAACATGGAAAATTCAGGATTCCCTCATACTCTGAAGAATGTATCCCATAAGGCACACTAAGCAGTAGAAAACAGAGGGGCAAGAAGCGTCATGAGGTGCCAAAATTGTGTTTAAATCTAACAGTTAACTAGAGTGTTTGCAATTATTTGTTCCTGACTATAATGCACACTCAGTGGGTTGCAGGAGAAGGGAATCTTATCACTCTGTTCATATGCTGCCTGGAAAACATCAGCTCCATTCTTTACCTTTGTTCAAGTTTCAATCCTCTTAAAAACCAACATAAAGTTATGAGAAAGGAAACACATCAGGAAAAGGTCTTTATACCTCTTCCAGTGACATTCTTCTTCTTTGTATAGGGCAGAAATGACCAGGAATCCAAAAGTCCAAAGTATTGCCTAGTTCTAGTGGAGACACATCTTTCTTGTGCTAGAGAAACATGAGGATGCTCACCAGAGAGATATGAACTTAAATACAGAACAAAATCTGTTAAACATTATGGGAGACTTCATAAAACTCAGTTTTGAATTTTGTCCTCAGACACAAAGTTTTGCAATGTTCTTTTGTAAAGACATTTGTTCAACTCACCTCCATTAATGGAATAACTGTCCCACAGACCTTTCTGAGGTGCTTATTTTATTAAAAACTCAAATGAACAGAAAACATAAAGGAAAGGAGGAAACGAAGAGATCACCTCCTTTGATTATGGAAAGAGAACAGATGAAAAAATATAGTATGGCAATAAAGAATGATCAAACGCAACAGCTTTCAGTTCTGATAAGAAGAACTTGTTTTGTGGTTATTTCTGCCATAGCATATGTGGGCGATCCCATTATGAACTTATGATAAAGTGGTAAGTTCTCAGTGTGTGACAGTTGTCATTTGCTAATTTAAGATGAACAGAAAAAAATCACCAGAGACATAAGCAGGTATTCTAAGCTATAAATCTAAGATTTCCAGAGCTGTGCTTTACTGTATTAGGTTTGATTTGGACATAACCAAGTGATTATAATTCCCTCTGGAATAAATATATGGAGAATTTGCATAAGCTAAACCTGATATTTTGAAGATTTTCTCCCTTATTTTCCTACAATAATTGTAGTAAAATAACACCAAGTTAGTATAAAATAAGTTTTATTTAAATGTTTGTTTATATCTTCACTCTTACTGTCCAGTCCTAGCATTATATTCGCTCAGCATTTGTGAGCCTTTTGTCCCCCTGGAAGGGAAACATCTAGAAAAAGCAGGAAAGGAAGAATTTTTCCATAGTTTGAGTCTCTGTATGACACTGCAATATAAATACTTAATAAATGAGAAGTTCCAGAGCTCCCATGACAGCTATTGCCTACTTCCAGCAGGTAACATGGGACCTGTAGCTATTAATAGCCTAATATTAATAGCCAGGATACAGTACTGCCTGTATCTTCATGCAGATTGTTATTCAAGTTAGCACTCAACTAAAGCACTACAGATGAAAGTTATTTGTTCTCTCAATATTAGTCTTTTAGCCTACATTAGTTAGCTCATGAATAATTAGTGTTAAGTATACACTTCTAATAGTTTAAGACAATGCTGTAGAACTGCTTGAATTATTTTAGAATTTTCTAGGTCTGAAATTGTACTTGATTGTATTTACTATAAATGTACATACTTATATACAGATTTTAAAGTGCCATTAATTGTGCATAATATAAACATAGTTTCTATTGGTAGGGGATGAAATTTTAAATAGAGAAGAATGGGCTATTAATTTAGTAGACATTATGATATAATAATGGCAGACACAGAGGCAATGTTAGTGAATTTTTGATTAGTATGTGAAAATTAAACCATGAGTGACTTACGCCATGACCCTCAATAAATTAAATTATTACCCACATTGCTTTGCTTCATTGTGTGTTTTATTTATCTCAAGTGAAATATTACTTTATGTGCCTTTTTATATTTTATTAGATTTTTTTTTTCTAGATCTGGGGGCAACTTAGTTTAATAAAACCATTTGATTATTCTGCCAACTTTAAATCAAAATTATGTACTTACATTTACATTGATGTAGACTTCTCTAAATATTGAATTTTGCTTGCACTTCTGAACAGCAAATGCTCAAGGATTCATCAAGATTTATTTTATCAAAGATTTAACATCCCCACAGACAATGTACATCCAAAACCAGTATCCTTCCCCACTAAAGGTTTTTCACAAGTTGTTATTGATCATGGCTGTAAACCTGACCATATTCAGTGCAATATTTGGCTATGATCTAGAAATATTTATTACTTGTGATGTAATTTCCTAGTGCCAGATTTTAAAATTAACTTGGGAAGTTAAGTCACCTCTTCCTCAAGCACGAACTGGCAGTAACAAACCACTACTCAGAGATGAATCTGCCTACCTAACACCTCCTCACTCACATCATTCCCACAAGCAGCAAGTTCTCTTATGAGTTCTGACTCGAGGAAAAAATATGTCTGTTAAGTAGAGGTCCTAGGAAAATACAAAATTCTCAAGGGTTATTTTCACATGTATTTAGATCATAAAATGAAAACTTATGTGCAGCTGCATCTACTGCATGCCAAAAAGCATGGTCACATAAATTTGCTTAAGACAAGAAAAGGAAATAGATATTTCTTAAAGAATCCCAGATTCCCCATAAAATGTGCTTGTGTATCCTTAAAATGGAGCTTGTGCGAATAAGAGAAAACTTCCCCAAGATAAAATCATATCACTGGGACTGCTCACCAGTTCACAGTAGGGCACTGACTTGTATTTGCCACCTACAAAGCCAGACCCCACCCTACACAAGCAGTGAAGTGCAATGGGAAATATCAACTGTCCTTGAGAAGAGAGTTATCCAGGTCCTCCATCAATAAGGCAAGTTATTGGATACTGTTAAAAGAATATCACAGGCTAAAAAAAGCCTGTATGTCAAGACTTACCAAATGACACCCACTTTCCAGTCTTCTTCCTTTCGGTAAGACTGTTGAAAGCTTGAGCCCTTATTGTAAGGGTTCATCACCATAAGCATGCAGATCACCCAGTCATGCTTTTCACCCATGCGTCCAACATAATAGTCTTAGGATAGTACTAGAACTTTTTATTTCTGATCCTCATAAATAAAACAGTTTTTTTTTTCAGATATCTCTGCAACCATTACTGTATGGTATTGCAGGCAAACATATACTTTTCCTGGAGAGTATACAAGACAACACACAGAACACATTCACTGTTAACCTACAGGTTTCGGAGATGGTCATTATGGTCATGTTTTCCCTGCAAAAATTTTCAGTTCTAAAATTATTACTATCCTATATTTACATGTTATTGACAATCTCTTCTCAGCCGGGAACGCCAGAGAGACTGTGACTTGCAGAGTAGTTTTGGGACACAGATTCAGATCTTTTGTCTGCTTTATCAAATTTAACCACAGAAACTTTGTATCAAAGAAGCACAAGGCTTGTAAATTAGGCAAATAATGAGCAAGACAGTGGTAATTCCAGTTACTCTTATTTTTTCAAAGGTAAAATGATGATTCATAAAGAATTTGATAAATCAGTGCCATGGTTTAAGCAGCCCAAACCAGCACATTCCTAGACAATTGTTTAAATTTTATTAGCAAAGCCTGAATGACTTGAATTAGCCTTAATACTATTCCTGAAGTTATGTATATTATGGATACTGTAATTTCCTTTCTTTCAAATATTAAAACATTTCACATTATCACTGCAGATGGTGAATCATTTAAGATTTCAACAGTTCCTCTTAACTGATGTTCTTATAATTTTAGAGTAGCTTCAGAAAAATGTTTCCAAACTTGCAACATTTACAAATTACATGCTATATATGTATGTATGTGTGGTTGATTGATTTATTTATTCATTTAGTTAGTTGTTTAGTTTGTTCATTAGTTAGTTAGTTATTATGTATATGTTATGACATTTTAAACAAGTGTGTTTTGTGTGACTTATTTCTTGGTAGATAATGAACACATCATCACATGAGTCTAACTCATGAGTAAAACCTCTAATACATTGCCAAATTGACAAAAGTTACCTTTCAAAATTTATAGCTGCTAGTAGTAAGAGTTAGAAACAGTTAAGTCATTTATGGTTAAATCTATAATGCATATATTATGGAATGATGTGTTGAGCAGTATGTCTTCTTCTGGAAGCTGTACTGTACACTTTTTGGAAAAAGTATCATAATACTGCTCTTGTGAAAACTGAGATTAGTACATAATCTGAACACCTTTTCAAAAATTGTTTATTGTTTTGCAGATCATTCTCTTTCACACAATATAATGTTTTGGTTTGCATTTCTTTGGCCTGTGTCATGCCAAATACTCATATAAAATGTTAAATCTTCCTCATATGCAAGTCAACAATTTACTAGGCACAATTTACTAGGCAATATCAAATTAGGACAAAACCTTATCTGAGTCCTGTGAAAGAAATGCTGAATTTTTTTCTTTAAAATTTGGTGTTTCAGAGATTTTTCCTTAACATCCTGGTGCTGAGATGATGGACTGATTATCCAGAACAGGCACAAGGTGTGCCGAAGATCCAACGCATCAACCTCCCCAAACACAGACTCCCAAGAGCCAAGAAAAGTTTTCACAGGTGATCCAAAATGCCACTTTGAGTTCTAAATGACAACAGCTTTATTTGACAAAAAACATGTATGTATTTCCCTCACTAAAGCTGGCACAGCATATTTATATGTCACCCATCACCCTGATATCTCAAAACTTTTAAAATTCTGTCTTCACTACATGTACTCTCTTCCTTGCCATGGAGTAAGAATCTCAGCTATAGAGAGTAAATAACAACTTGGTCACAGCTCAGTTCCTAGGGTAGGAAATGTGGTGAACATGCTGAAGAAAGTGGAAAGAAATAATTACGTTGTTTTTTAGCAAATTAATTCTTAATGGAATTACTTTAATTATTGTATTCTCAGTCCCGTTCTGAGATCTTTGTTCCCAGATTCAGTAACCAGAAGGTAATTAAGAAAGGAGGAGACAACTTTGCCACACTTCTATGCTAAGTCACTTTATATTCAGTTTCAGACCAGTACCTTCTCAGGCCAGTGTGTATGCTACTTAAATATTGAGGCAGTGCTTACTGGCCTGAAAGAGACAGAGAGTTTTACATCAATCTTTCTGTCGAGCTCTCCACCTCATGTCTTCACCATGCACCCCTGCATAAGCTTTCTTGTAGATTTTGAATCAAATTATGTAGGAAGCTGAATGTCATACAACTGCAGATCTGAGCCCTCTATCATATTTACTTGGAATTTTCTGAAAAAACTACACAGTCTGCAGCCAAAGATTTGAATGCATTCCTATAGCTTATTACGGATGTGATGGACAGAACTGCTGATATGCAGGGGCATGGTTGGCGGGAAGGTGGAGGATGCCAGCAGAGCTGAGGGGCCAGCAGCTGCATCTCGGACAACTTTTCACCTCAGTGGCCCCAAACCCTGACAGTGGCTGGTTCAAGAAACTAGACCTTAACACTTTTCTACATCTTCTTGCTCAGAAAAGGGAGGATACACTCTGCAAGGTTAAGACATCTCCAGACAACAAGGGAAACTTATTTTGGCACTGAGCAACCTGTATTCTTAAGGGATGCAATCATATTTCTTTCTGACATATATGGGGTTGGATGGGTTACAGTACCACAGGCCATTCCCTGTATTCCCTGCAGCTGTTTTCCTCTACTTATGTGTCAGAAGCTTTACAGCCTATCTGTCATGTTATAAAATATTATCTAGTCACTCATTTGCTTATATTTAGTTTTACCCTGTAGCATTTTTTGTATTCCTGGCCTTTTCTTTCATTTTGCTAGTGGCAAGTCACTATTAAATTATACATAAGTTTACTTAAGTTCTTTGTTTACATTACATTTGGAGATCAGAGAGTGAAAAGGAGTTTTTAACGATGATTCAGTCCATTCAACTTCCCCTTGGTTTACCAGCCGGGATGATTCACAATTCTCCATTAAGCATAATGAAACCCACAGTCTCAAGGGCAGCAAATAATGTTCTTGTGCTTGTTGAGAACAGTTTTCTGAAGGCAAGACTTTTCAGTCTCCTTCTCTAATATTTAAATGTCACATCGCTCTGTCCATGCCCACGAGGACAGACAGCGATTGTGAGGGGTCAACACAGAAGAAAAAGTGGGTGACAGGAAAATCCAAGGGTCCTTTATTTTGCCGCAGTAGCAGGAGCACTCAAAATACAGCTGAACACTAGGACCTCCAACAAGGGGCAATCCCAACCTATACACACTATTATGGAACATTCTAGCAACATTCTAACCAATCACAATGGTGATGTAACCCATGTTAACATAGTAACTCCCATGATCCCATAGGAACAAACTTTAACCCTCACAAAATTGAAACTGTGTCCCACAATTCAGGGTATTGCTTTCTGCCACCTTGGGCTGACCCCAGCTACGGCTGGCTTGGTGACCTGGCCTGGCCACTGGACCTCCACATTTAAAACTATATTAAGATCTGATCTGGCCAAACTTGCATCAAAGCATGAGGCCAAATTAATACAACTATTATGTGGGGCATTTATCTGCACAGCAGGGTAAGAATCACTGCAGCTGAAATAACAGACTGGAAAAAAAATTATTTTAGGAAAACATAAGTTAAATCCAATAATCAATTCAATTCAATAATCAAGCCACAGAAAAAAATTATACTTATCAGCTTTAACACTACTTGATACTTAAAAGTGATGAGCAGTAGTCACTGAATCCAAATAAAATTTGATCCTAAGATCAGGAATCCATTTTTATCTGTATATTTGCTTCCAAAAAGGTAACTTCATGTGAGAGATACCTCTGGAAACTCAAGTGTTCAGACGCTGTATGTCCAGCTAAGATAAAACTCAGCATCCGAATTAATTTTTCTTTTCTCTCCTCTTTTTTTTTTTTTTAAAGATGTTTCATGCATACCTGTTTTTATACCACCTTATCTGTTATGCTTTCTTACTCACCCTTTTATTTCCTTCATAAAGTTTATATACATTTATAACAGCTCTTACTTAAATACCACTGTTACTACTGTGAAGATGCGTGGGAGATCCTTGCTGCCACCACACCATTCCTGCTGCCTCTTTGTTAAACCCTTTCCCTGGATATTAAGTGTGTCTGTTGTTTCTTTACATGATAACTCTCTGAAACACACGATGCCTCTTCCTCTGTGTTGGTAGGGCTTTTAGTTTAACTGGGTTTTAGGCCCTATTATCACAAACAATAATTAACAGTGTAACAGTGTAAGGCAACCCATATGTTCAAAAAGGTTTGAAAGCAGCCAGCATCAAGTTTCAAACTATTACCAGAATTTTGCACACTCTTCCTCAAATGCATCTTTAATGTCAATTGTCAAATACAGTCTTCGACTGATCTTTAACAGCACAGTTTGCTATGCCAACAAAGTGCCATAGTAGTCACACGTACTAGTTCTCTTTGTGGCTCTAAAGAAGAAGTCCATTTTTAACATGGGCTCATACTATTCCTGAAGAGCACAATGGCCTAATGTAATTGAAAAAGATATACACAAGCTCTAATCTGCTTTGACTTCACGGGATGGAGCAAATACTAGTTATAAGATCACAGTAATTACAAGATAATGGGCATAGTAATTAGTATTATCAACGATGCTAGTTAATGGCAATATTAGTCACTCCAGAATACAATCTTCATGTCTTTTCTTTGTCATTGGCATCTTGTAATCAATTAAAAGATGGCTTGTAAATGGAGTTTATTAATTGTGAGCAGTCTAGACACCACTTGTTAGACTGAGTTTTGTTCTCCTCTCAATGTTTCAAGTACTCCTTACATACAGCAACTGCTCCAAATAACTGCCACTGCTGTCAGGCACAAGTATTTTCTGAATCCAAATAAAATTTGATCCTAAGATCAGGAATCCATTTTTATCTGTATATTTGCTTCCAAAAAGGTAACTTCATGTGAGAGATACCTCTGGAAACTCAAGTGTTCAGACGCTGTATGTCCAGCTAAGATAAAACTCAGCATCCGAATTAATTTTTCTTTTCTCTCCTCTTTTTTTTTTTTTTAAAGATGTTTCATGCATACCTGTTTTTATACCACCTTATCTGTTATGCTTTCTTACTCACCCTTTTATTTCCTTCATAAAGTTTATATACATTTATAACAGCTCTTACTTAAATACCACTGTTACTACTGTGAAGATGCGTGGGAGATCCTTGCTGCCACCACACCATTCCTGCTGCCTCTTTGTTAAACCCTTTCCCTGGATATTAAGTGTGTCTGTTGTTTCTTTACATGATAACTCTCTGAAACACACGATGCCTCTTCCTCTGTGTTGGTAGGGCTTTTAGTTTAACTGGGTTTTAGGCCCTATTACCACAAACAATAATTAACAGTGTAACAGTGTAAGGCAACCCATATGTTCAAAAAGGTTTGAAAGCAGCCAGCATCAAGTTTCAAACTATTACCAGAATTTTGCACACTCTTCCTCAAATGCATCTTTAATGTCAATTGTCAAATACAGTCTTCGACTGATCTTTAACAGCACAGTTTGCTATGCCAACAAAATGCCATAGTCACACATACTAGTTCTCTTTGTGGCTCTAAAGAAGAAGTCCATTTTTAACATGGGCTCATACTATTCCTGAAGAGCACAATGGCCTAATGTAATTGAAAAAGATATACACAAGCTCTAATCTGCTTTGACTTCACGGGATGGAGCAAATACTAGTTATAAGATCACAGTAATTACAAGATAATGGGCATAGTAACTAGTATTATCAACGATGCTAGTTAATGGCAATATTAGTCACTCCAGAATACAATCTTCATGTCTTTTCTTTGTCATTGGCATCTTGTAATCAATTAAAAGATGGCTTGTAAATGGAGTTTATTAATTGTGAGCAGTCTAGACACCACTTGTTAGACTGAGTTTTGTTCTCCTCTCAATGTTTCAAGTACTCCTTACATACAGCAACTGCTCCAAATAACTGCCACTGCTGTCAGGCACAAGTATTTTGGCACCAAAATACTAGTGATTAATTCTTTTTTAAAGTATTCAGCAATTACTTTCAGTATTTTTTAGTTTTAGGACTTGTCTGAAGTACGATTGTTAAAGGTGTTAAATATAAATAGTCTTGAAATATTGCCTGAATAAGCTGTTATAACATACCCCTTTAGGTAATCTTTAGTTTCACAGTAATATTAGTAACTACAGTAATATTTTTACACTAAGCTGTTCTTTTTAGTAACAAATAAAATTCATTAATGAATCACAAGCAGATAACTACTTGGCTTATGTTTAATGTCAAATAAAACAAGCCTCCAATATTCATAAATATCAGTCTATCCATTGTTCATTTGACAAGAGCAATCCACAGTGATTTATTGTAAATGGGAAGGACATTGATAATGTGCCATGCTGTATGGATATGGATAGATGGTATTTGTCAAAGAACAGCTCTTTCAAGAAATAAGCAGATTTCAGGTAAATACAGAGCAAGAAACAGGTTGGTTTATCCTCATGATGACATTCCGGTTTATTTTCTTTAGGTTATAATGGTGCGTTCTCTCAGTCCCTGGAAAAGCTGTCAT